TAGATCGAAACAAATGTGCTTGAGCCAGAAAAAAGGGTATGAAAAGTGCTCCAAGTCGCTGCAGAAAACCAAAAAAATATTGGAAATATTGCTGGAGACGGGCTTATTTAAAATGCAAATTCTCTGCCAGCAGGAGGCACTTTTAGAGTGATAAAACTAGCGCTTTCCCCAGTAATGGCTGTAATCAAAGCAGCTCTGCTCATGAACGCTACTTTGATCAGATCAAATGAAAATGCCAATTACACTGGTAATGTATATCGAAATATCGGAAATGTGTTTAAAGATCATATCACCGTTATTGAAAAAAATTATATCGCGATACATATTGATATTGAATTATTGTCCAGCCCTAGGAGACTGGTTTTCCTTTGCTAAAGTAAGGAAACTGTTTCCTTTGCTCCTGCATCTCTTAGAGGCCCCCCCCCGGAGCTATGTGAGGGACGTTTTAATACGGATGCATGCACTTTATTTCACGTCTTTTGAACTGTTGGCAACCAACACCCGCTTACCCCCAATGAAAGGCATGGAGGAGACAGGATAATTTTTTATATTCCAAACTCCGATTGGATTCGTCTAAAAGAAGAAAGTCACATACACATAAGATGCTTTGAGGGTGCGTAAAACACAGGCTAATTTTCATTTTTGGGTGAACTAACCCTTTAAGCAAGTATGTGTTTGTTTATGCGAGTAACAATCACTACGTGTAATTTTTTAAAGACAGGACCTGGAAGTGCCAATGAACTGCTGAGGCCTGAGAGATATTTAGCAGGCTAAATTGAGTTGCATAATGAATAGTCATCATTATAGCATTCCACCAATAACCGATAACCAAATTTTCATTTTTGGGTGAACTGAATCTTGTGAATAGGATAGTACAAGAACTGCATCCCAAGTCAGGGCATTGCAAGATGCCACAGTGCAAAACTACCACATGAAAAAGGCAACTAGGATTTAAAAGCTCTTTGAATTTAAATATTTGACCCTTTCCACAGGTACGCCACTGCTTTGAGCTCTGTGATGGAAATAGCAAAACATTTTACACTGCAACTCCTTGAGAGATATGGAAGAGCTCATGTTCTGTGCTCCTAAGCAGTCGGCTCACAGAATGTCAGACTAAGTGGACAATGTTGGAAAGGACTGTTCAAGATTATCAATGAAGCCTGACTGGCCAACTTACTGGGAGAGGAATGAACCTTTGCGAGATGCAGACGAAGTGGCAGTGCTAGTGCTCTGTTTGTGTAGCCAAGACGATCCTCCTCTTCCACTTCTCTCCACTGACTGTACCTGAGGCACTTTTTCATAATAGCCCTTACTTCCTGTTGGCTGTGACGGAACTTTATACATGAGGATGGTCATGGAGGTACTACTTCCTGGAGTCATTCTGTGGTGCTGGAATACTTTAGGGTAGTTGCCAATTTCTTCAGGGTGGAGGAGAAGGCAGGCTTCAAAGATGTTTTTGCACACTATGGCAGCCAGAGTCTGAGGCATAGCACTAGTGCCATGCTGTCCAGAAGAAGAACAAACTTGCTCCAGAAAGAAAGGCCCATCTTAGTTTCACGAAGACAGCAAATCTCAGCTCCCTCTGATACATTCACATTTGAAGAGGAGCAGGAGGATTTTACTTGGAATAGATCCTATACACGCTGAGTGAGAGAAGCAGGTGGTATTATAAGATCATAGCAGATTGGTAGTGCTAAAATTCCTACAAAAAGGCACAGTACATGTTTACAGGGATAGTTCACCCAAAAATGAAAATTCTGTCATTAATTACTCGCCCTCATGACATTCCAAACTGACACGGAAGAAA